GAAATTCTAAAGTAGCTGAATAAGCCTAAGTGGATATATGATAAGAAGGAGAGAACTATGTATATATTATTTATGATATCTATAGTGTTGAAGAATGTATTGTACATATGATAACTTGTTCTGAATATATATATATATATTATTTTGAAAACAATTGAAGTGCGTGCTGTTTATTCATCGTTGAATTTATAGCTAATAAGTCACAGACACCTACTGTAGAAGAATCCTAAGCCCAACAACAACATAGTACATACTTATACTATTAAGAAATATAACTAAAAGCCTTTTTATTTTGACACTTGGTGAAGATCAGATTTTTAAACTCTGACAAAATAAAAAACAAATAAAATTTCACCAACTTCTTTTTTGCCCAGTTAAATGCTCAACCCTGACTAATTTCCTTTCAGGGACCCTGCAGAAGTACACCTAGTATATATGTGCATATATCAGTGATTTTCAAAGTAAGTTGAACTGACTCAGCAAGTAGAAGAAAATGTTTAGATGCAGTAATTGAATTTTTTTTATTTGTGGCAAATATTATTTCTAATGCATGACTTTTCAAAAAATAGACAATATTTTCCTTTTTATAGTTTTGTATCTTGTATAGTTTGGTATTTCTGAAATATATTTTTGGTAGAGCCTCCCTTTAGAGTGTGAGAGGGGATTTTGAAGTTTTTCGTTAGTTATGTGCACTATCACAGTAAACAATAAGCATAAACACACAGCATGTTTAGACTCAAGCTGAAACTCACATATTAAAGTAAAAATTGGTTGTATTTTATATATCACCAAATTCAAGAAAATACAAATATTCAAAAAATTTAGCAAACTTTTTCATGATTTAATAAATTGTTTTACTTAATACTATACAACAACTTGCACACAAAAAATTGTATCTTCTATTTTTACATTTATGTAAATAAATGTAATTAATAACCTAATTTTTCACTTTTTCACACAAAATGCTTTTTGTTATAGGCAAAATAGTTTCAGTATAAGCCACTTTGTCATAACAGACAGGAGCCTTTACAAACTACTATAATAGCATACATTACATAACTAAGGACAAATAAAATATAGCTTCATGGTTATCAGATTAAATTAAACTGAAAGATGCAGAACTTTAGAGTAAACTACTTACAGACACAGTTGAACTTCCTGGCGTGTTAGTTCCATACCCTGAAGAAGGTAGAGAAGCAACTGACCATCGTCGTCCATCACATCTGTGCCAAAAAAATGACAATAATCAACCTAATTCTCATAGTTTAACATAACTATTCACAAGTAAACTAAACCAATTAAACTATGGTTTCAATTTATTGATCAGCAAACCCCCCTTTTTTAAAAACTGTTTTAATCATTGATCATAGTTTAGATTTTAAAATGATATAATTGGAAAGTTATGTCACATTAACCTCACGTGAGTTTTGTTCTTATCATACTGTATAGTAACACAGTCATACGTCCATATATATTACAGCATACAAAAGAAAACTGCTACATACTTTAATGTAAACTTTATGCTACTATAGTTGAGCTTTACATTTACACTATATTTAATTCATCTGGTTCATTAGAATTACTAATTTCATATTAATGTATATTTTATTATAGTTTTAATCACAATGTTGACTTAGTTGACTTCATTAATTACTAAGAATAAGAATTATGTAATTTGAAATGTTCATGAAAACATAATGTGGGCACAGAGTAACATGTAATGCTTGTCTTCATATGTTTGCATATGTAGAATAATGTGTAATGTCTGCCATAACATGTAGGTAGTCTAACACGTGTAATACTTGTCTTAACAGGTACATAGTGTGCACATGTATCATGTCTGCTCTATTGTGTGTGTATATATATATAAATATAATACCTATCTTAATGTGAACTACAGAACAAAGTGATATGTAATCCCTATCTTAATGTGTATATATATAGCAACACGTGTAATACATGTCCTAATGCAAACATATAAAGTAGCATGTGTAATGTCAGTCTTAACAATAATGTAGCCTATGTAATTCCCGACATTGAATTTTTTCTTCCCTTACTTCAAAAATAAGCACATAAACTGAAGTTCCACATAAGAAACAAAAAGTTTAGTTTATAAAATACCAGATAAGACACAATAGTCCACTAGTACAAAAAAAATATAATAATTTAAAGGTAAAAAATGTCTATAACTTATGAAATCTTATTCTTTCTTCCTTCAGTTATAGCATGATGTTTAATTAACAGTCAACAGTTGCCTGAAACCACTTCAGTAAAAAGGGCCAGTAAAGAAAGGTTTAATTAAAATTATTATCAGTCCTATTGTGATATAATATCACACTAACAACCAATCAACAGATGGCAATGTTGATTAGTTTACTCAATGATTCAAGCCTAAGTCCTCCTTCAGAAAATGGCAGAAAGTTTTAAGCCAAGAAGAAAGGTTAGGTCCAAAACATTGAGCTTATAAATATTCAACATTGACATTTGTTGTTTATTTATTTTCATCAACTATATTTTATCATTTGAATTATTTTTTCTATAGCTTTTCATATACTTTCAACTACAGTATAGTCTAATTACAGTGCTAAGCATATAAGGAAAGTACACAAAACTAGGTTACTATCAAAGAAATCCTTGTCTTTTTTTAACAGTTTTAATACTTGAATTAGTGAAAATTAAAAACTTAATAACAGATGAATGAAAAAGTATTAATGCGAGTATCATGGATGCCCAAAGAAATATGATCGGAGGGAGGGGGCAAAACATCTATGTAGAAAATCAACTTTTACAACGTAAGTCAACAGACTAAAGAATGTGTTATGTGTGCTTAAATGCAAACACAAATCTATAATTTTTGATAAAAATTACTAAAAACATTTTATTTAACTATGATGTTAGGCTTACATTGTAATACCTGTAATTTTTTGTGAAATTTAAGGGGGGAAATGCCCCCTCTTGCTCCAGGTGCCCATAGTGAATACGGATCATATGAAGTGCAGCATCATATAATAAATATAATTAGTCTTACAAACAAATTTTTTGTTCAGAAATTAAGAATAGTCAAAAATATTAATGCTTATACAATATTAAACTTCCTATAATTTTGAGGTTATTAAAAGGATGTTTATAATATTTACAGTTCCATTATATTTTACATACCTTTTAGCTGTAGAAAAAGGTAAATGCTGACTGGGTGACATATTGCGTGGACTTTCTGCTGGACTGTCTGTGTGATTAGGATTTAAAAACAAGAAGCTTTTTAAGAAGTTACCTTGTGCCCATGTTTATTAACCTAAATTTTTAAATGCCTAAAATGTTTAGATATAAAAAATATACAAAATAAAAGAAAACTGTATCCTATTCATGGAAAGTAAACAATGTCAGAAACCTTTGGAAACTGTATAAAATATCACGCCAATATCTTTTAAGGAATACCGTTACTCAAAATGGTCGATATTTAACAAAACATCTTTAATAAGATATAAAAACTAAAGACCTGTTTCACATGCTGTTATAAAATTTTTATGTATCATATTCTTATATTCATTTAGTTATATCTTTATTACTTGTGTTTTCTATGGTACAAAATACTATATAATTAACTGGTAATTAAAACACATTCATATATAAACTCATGTGATAAAGAATAGAAGTAAACATACTGACTCAAGTGTCCATAAAATCTTACTTCTGAATGATATTATTCAGAAACAAATACCAGGAGATAAGTCCTTGATAAATGACACCTATTGTCTAATGTTTGTGACAAATGGAAATTCCAGTTTAAAATGTCCATGCTGAATTATCAAATGTCAAAATTATTTTTTGTTTAAGATGC